TTGAAAAGGTAGTGGGGGTTTTGTTAAGTAAACCATTTGGTTATAGACTGGGTAACAAAAGTGGTTTTTATTTAAAAACAACAACAACTGGGCTGATTGATTTTTTTTTTTTTTTTTTTTTTTTGAGAAAAAAAGTTTTGCTTCCTATCCTGGAAGCTTCATCAATTGTATTGGATCTTCATAGACATTTGCGGACTGGTGATTTTATATGCATGTACTAGGGATGGGGAACCCTGGCTCTTTTATAACTTGTGGACTTCAACTCCCAGAATTCTTCAGCCAGCATGGATAGCTCAGGAGTTCTGGGAGTTGAACCCACAAGTCATAAAAGGGCCAGGGTTCCCCACCCCTGTACTAGGCACATCAGGACCTGCTTAGTTGTTAAAGATTGGCTAGGTGCTATCTGTTTTAAATCAGCCAGTATAAAACTGGGTAGCTCTAAGAATAGTAAGGTGGTGATCAGTTCATAAAAGCATCTATCTACAAATTTAGTACGGTAAATAAATTAGATTAGAAGCATGGAAGAAACATTTCGTGAGACTCAAATTACAATAGAGGTACAGTTGCTTCAGTTTATTTTCCTACTCACATTCTTATATGAATGATCTAGATCAGATTTGAATCCTTTAATTGTCAAGTTTTTTAAAATGTACCACTAATTGTCTTCTCTTTTGTCCCCTCGCTCTTTTTGTAGATATTTGTGGAGTTCACATCTGTCTTCGACTGTCAGAAGGCCATGCAAGGCCTCACTGGACGCAAGTTTGCAAACCGGGTCGTTGTGACTAAGTACTGCGATCCTGACTCTTATCATCGCCGAGACTTCTGGTAGCCCAGCCCTTGAAACAGCCTTGAGGGGGTTTTGTGGAGGCAGGAGCAACTTGCTGGCCAGAGAGGCTCCTTTAGAAGCATAGCCTGTTTATATTTTATGGCCAAAATCTGTATTTCCCCTTCCCCTTTCCATTTATCCTCCCAGTTCCTTCCTTTTCTAAACCTACCATCAGCCCACCCACCCATGCCCCCCCACTGGTTTCCCAATGATGGTTATTCTGTAGTAGAAGTGTTGTCTCCCATATTTTCCTTCCCTCCTTTCTCTGTGATGTTTCAGATTTTTTGCTAAAAGGAGTTTTGCTGTCAAAACAGTGGGCCTGTTTTTGTTGTATTTTCCTTTCTTCTATGCTGTGTGTATGGACAACTATTTCTCTAGTGTTGTCTCTCATAATTAAAACATTTTTTTCCAATTCCCTGGTGTCATTGGGGCGACTTGCTCAATTTTAAATCCCTGATTGTAAACTAAGATGGTTTAACATGCTTTTCAAAGGGAAATTTATCAAAGATACTCACAGTATCAAAACCTATCTGTAACGTACAGGTAATCCTTACTTGATGATAATTGGGATTGGAATTTGTCGGTAAATGATATAAAATGCAGTGTCACCTGACTGCCACTTAGTTCTGGCGTTTCTGTTAGCTGGCATTAAGTGCAACAGCATGTGATCACCATTTGCAACTTCTTGCTGGGTTCACCATTGACTTTGTCAGAAGCTGGCAGTGAAAATTGCAAATGGCAATCTTGTTATCATAGGATGTTGCAGTATCAAAATTGCAAGCCAGGCTCCAAGCACCATGTGCAACTTTGGTCACCGAACAAATGATCATTCAAAGAGAACTGGAATGCTGGTTGAATCTTAAGAACAGAAGATGGAAGTAATTATTTTTAACTAGGGTATTTACCATCTTTGAGTTCTGCCAGAAGAATACTGCACACACTGTTTCTGTAATGTAGAAATTGGCAAATCTGTGACTACAGATTTCTCAGATGGTGTCTTTGTGGGACTATGGTCACAAATAGCTTATATTTCTTGGATCTATGCAGTGTTGTCTTTGTATAAGGCAGGGGTCTTCAAACTTGGCCCTTTTATGACTTGTAGACTTCAACTCCCAGAATTCCTCAGCCTGGCAGACTGGCGTTGAAGGAGTTGAAGTCCACAAGTCATAAAAAGGCCAAGTTTGAAGACCCCTAGTATAAAGTGCAGGAGGCTGAGCTTTTGGTAATCTTGAGCAGAATGAAATGCCAGTATGTGGTACTTGGTGAATCTATACATTTTCCAAAAATCTTCATTTTCATCCAATTTCTTTCCACAAAACTATTTCTTCCCCTTAGAGGTACAGGTGCATACTTAAGACTGGTCAATTCATGCTGAGAACTTTATCCTGAGGAATTGCTGAATAAGCCAACATTTCTATGGCAATACTTCACTGCCCAATATAACAGTGGTCCATACCAATGACTAACAATAGAAATGATGAAATTAGCATGATGTCTTACATGATCTGTTCAGGTTGCAAGATTAAGCTATATTTGCTGGAGAATTTGGGGTTATTACTGAATTCTGATTTATTTAACAACATGCTACAATCGTTTATGTAAGACTCTTTTTAAAACTGTTGCCTCAGCTAAAAAAATTGAGCTTAGAGCTTGTTCACAAAATTTAAGTAGGATAGTAAATTAAAGCTTATAATGCTCAGTGGACCTTAGTAATGTATTGGAATGTGTACAACTGCAGCATGACCCTTGAAAATTCCCAACAGGGACTGATGCAAAAATTTGCAATTACTTTGCTTCCAAAATACCAAAGCTTACATATGAAGTAACTAGTAACTAATATTAATAACTAATTCAAAACCCAGCTGACCTATCTCAGTATTTGCAATTTTTTAAATCAATGAACTTCTGAATTTAGTCAGCCTGATGAAATGTTTGCTCATATTAATATCAAGAAACTTATTTTGAATTCATCTTAATTCAATTTCAGGATGCTATGATTATTTCAAAGTGCCTTTACTGAGTTTGGCTTTACTTCTGTGAACATAGAAATGGAAGTCCAGAAGCTACAGCAAAATAGCTTCCATAGCTTCTTGATTTTATACTCCTCCATCTGGTATTGCTATAAGGCAAGCTACTTAGATCTGTTATTGGATAGATTTTATGATCATATAAAGTTATTTTCTAACATTATGTATTACACGTACATCCACAAATAGGGTATAGTTAGTAATTGCTTAAACTAGGAGTAGATTAGTATGGACAGATAACTTTTATTCCAATTTTAAAGAGAAAACATGTTTTTTTGAAGAATATAACAGTTTCAAATGGGAAAGCTAAAGAAATTAATCAGCTAAGAATTATAGGTTGGCAAATATATTTCTCGCTGCAGAATAACAAAGTAATGAGAAATGCTTACCTTTTAAGGTCTGCGACTGCTAAAGTAACAGCACATTAAAGCTGTAAATATCTCTAAAGCAATGGAATCTTAACATGCATTTTCTTTCCTATGTTTTTCTTAAATTTATTTTATTACATTTTTTATTCTGCCATTTAAGAAGTTCAGAATTAAGAGAAAAATCTAGTCTTCTGAACTAATGTTAATCACTATGTATAAGGGATAGGTAGCTAGGATTAAAGCTGCAGTTGCTATACCCCAGAAGCATAAAATTTATACTGGCTTTTTAAAAGATCGTGACTTTAAAAAAATCCTAGGGACAAATTAAGAGTCTATTCCACAAACATCTGAGGGGTTACTGAAAAGGATCTTTTTTGCAGATGTGGTTTGAAATTTCTATCCAAAAGCCTTATTTCAACAGCTTTTCACAATACACCTTACCTTTTAACAAACCTTAAGTGTATGATGTTGACATTCATCTCCCTGACATCAGTGATTTAATACCTATTTATCCCTTTTCAGTGGATGGTTTAATTTATTGTGGATTTTTGTTACTTGTTAAGATTGTACCTTCAGTATTTGCTGGAATGGGAGGAAATGACAATTTTGCTTGACCTTTTATTTGCTTTTGGTATTTTTAGATAGGGCCCTAAACTTTTAACAAAATATCTAAATCAGAGAATTCCATTATATTATTTTCTATGTATATATGCTTACAGGATCCTTTATAATCACTGCAGCTATACTTTTATATGTGTCTAGATTGTAGAATTTCATACACAAAAGGAAAACTTTTCTATTCATCCACTGTTCTCCAGCTCCAATAAACCTATTTTTGTAGTCAGTCAGACTACTGGATTTTTGGGAGGGGAGGGCATTGTATGCTACTACTTAATATGCCAAATGGGGTGACTTCAATGGGTTGGGTACAAGCTACCTTAATGTTAACAAACTGAGTTTTCTTTGCATTTAATGGAAAATTTGCTGAATCTGTAAGATAAAAATAAAGAGATTCAGAGTTATGATTTGGAGTAGTCTCTTGCCTTTCTCAAAATATTGCATTTATAGGTCCAGACAAAAGACGGAACTCAAGAGATTGTTATTCTTTTCCTCCCTCATGGTTCCAGTCCCAAACGTATCTTTATATTAATGTGCAGAAAATGCTAGTGCTGTTCCTTTAAAATTTAGGTGATTTGGGATTGGCTACTGTTAATCGCAGGCCACATTTCTGATTGGTGTTCCCCTGTGGTGGGGGTCGCCGTTTGAGCAAGCCAGGTACCAATGTTAATAAATCGGAGGTTGGGAAGAAGTGCGGTATGACTGCACGAACAATTGCGACTCTTACTGAAGGTACCCTCCCTCCCTTCCCATCCTCCCAAATTACAACTATGTTTTCTGACTTCTTGCGAAAGCACGGGTTGCATTCACGCAATACCATTTAGATTATTAAACATTTGGCAACGTTTGCCCTGGAAGAAACTGCTAAAATTAAATGTTTTCGTGTTGGATTATTGTTTCGATTGTATTGAGGTAAACGTTTTGCTATTTCTGAGTTTTGGGGGGTTTTTTGGCTTGAAAATAACCAGAATGCCTATATATGAAGAAAAGAAATCTATAATACCGGATTCGTCCGTTTGCCTTCCCTCCATTTTTTTTTTTTTTTTTGGTCCCGTTTCACGTTTGCTTGGCCCGATTCTCTCTATGATGCAGGAAGTGCCGGCTTCTCAACACGGAGAAGGATGAGGGCGGAATTGGGCACCACCTGGAGGCGGAAGTTGAAGCAAGCCGACATCCGCTTCCGATTTGCGGGGCGGTCCTCCCGGCGCCGGTGGCGCCGCTAGTGCCGCATCTGCCCCTGGGCTGAGAGGGGCCGAAAGCCTTCGGAAGGGCCATAGAGTCGTGGTGCGGTAGAGCGGCCCTCCCTTGGCCCAGATTTCTCTGCATTGCCTGGGAGACGGGAGAGCCCAGGGCGGGGGTGTCTTCAGACGGGGTCAGGCCGAGGTTTTCCACAGGGAGAAAGCTTGAATTGTCTCGTCTTCCCCGCCGCCTCCATTCTGACCCGTGACTTCTGACTCTGCGAAGCCTTTTCCTTGGAGAACTGGCCTCCCCTTGGCCTCTCTGACCTCCTTGCCTTTGTGACCTTTGAACCCAGTCCATGTAAGCTTCTCTCCCAAAGGACTTCCATTCTTTTCTGTTCCTCCTTCCCTCCAAGGAGCGGCTCTCTTCCTAGGTCTGTTCTTCAGATCCACCCTCGACTTAACCTAACGTTTCAGATTTTCTGTGCCCGATTTCGTCTCTTCGAGAAGCTATTTGAAAACGAAGCTTTCTTACCCTCCCGTCTGCCAATATTCCCCCGTTTTTTAAAGAAGGGCACTGGCTATGCCCCCTGGCTGGGGGAAGTGGGGAGGCTGAAACGCTTACTGGGGACCCGGGGGGGGAGGGGGACTCCAGTGTTGGTCTGGCTGTTCACAGATCTGTTGGTGTGAGCCCCAACCTTTCTGTGGCCTGGAAGATCGAAATTTCTCTTACACTATCTAGGTGAGTAACTGCCATTGGCAGGTCAGTATGAGCAGGAGAGGAGGGTGGAGGCTAGAAAAAGGAATTGTATTTATATAATGTGTGGACAATATGTCTCAACTCCCGTTTCCTGTTGGCTAGAGTTATCCCTTCAGTTGTAAGAGCTGAGTCTGATCTCAGAAATTAACTCACAGGACAGGTGCGTATCTGGCCGGAGAAGGAACTCCCTCTGATAAGGATGAATTTAAGCCAATATTTGGTATGTGAAACAAGTTATATTTGTGCCAAATAATTGGGAAGAAACAAGAGAATTTTATTTTTGATTGAAATGAAAGGATTTATATCAATGAAACTCCAGCAAATTGATAGTGCAGGTTAAGTTTTAAAGATGATTGATGAGAATGGAGCATATTAGAGTGTGTAATAGAAGCAGAAAATAAAATGAAATGGATTGATAGACTATTAAGAGGTGCAAAGAAATGCTGCTTCATGCTATAAATCCATTATTACAATGTGTTTTGGTAGTAACTGCTACCTTTTGTTAGCTTTGAATATAGATTAGAACAGCCTGTCAGAGATTATTAATGCAGTTCTTAGTTGAAAGTTTGTATTCAGAGATAGTATATCATTGATAAAACAAATGCTCTTCAAAAACCCCAGGCTTCTGTATTGTTTTCATATCACTTCTCCAGAACTACATGGCTGTCCACTGCTGAAGAATGATAAGCATAGATGGCATTATTGGTTCAATTTAAATTAAAAAGAAGTAAATATTATTGCATTTACTATTTTTCTTTCAGAACCACAAGGTGAAATACCTGTTCTCTCACTCTCCCATGCTGTTTTCATAACAATCGTGTAATTTTGATGAATATATGAGGTTTAATATAAAACCTTTATGGCTAAGTGAAAATTTGAACCTGAGGTTCTCAGGTTTCCACACTTTTATTCACCTGTCCAAAATATCTTCCAGCTACAGTATATATGATCATTATTCCTCCTTTGCTTCCTTTATTTTTAGCCTGGCTTGATTTGGAAATGCAGGAGGAAAAAGAGAAGTACAAGTAATCCTTGACTTAACAACAGTTCATTTAGTGACTATTTAAAGTTAAAGTGGCACTGAAAAAAGTGATTTATGACTGTTTTTCACACACTGTTGCAGCATCCCCATGGTCACATGATCAAAATTCAGACACTTGGCATCCGACTCATATTTATGACCATTGCAGTGTCTTGAGCCATGTGAACCCCTTTTGCGACCTGACAAGCAAAGTCAATGGGGAAGCCAGATTCTCTTAACCATGTTAGTAACTTAACAACTGCAGTGATTCACTTAACAACTGTGGCAAGAAAAGTCATAAAATGGGGCAAAACTCACTTAAATGTTTCACTTAGCAATAGAAATTTTGGGCTCAATTGTGGTTGTAACTTGAGGACTACCTGTTCAGAACCAGCCTAAAATGCCTTTGCTTCCTAAATTCCTTTTTGCAATTTCAGTTTCAAGAAAAGAGAGGAAGTTAGAGAGAGTCAGAGAGCTTGCTTTCGCCTTGTGTTTAGATTCTTTGAGATATTATTTATACATTCTCTCACGGGCTATCTTATCTAGAGTCAGTTTTGCCAGTGACCTTCAGGGTCCCGTAGTCTGTAGGTCTCTTAGACCAGGGCTTTTCAACCAGTGGTACGGGTACCACCTGTGGTATATTGGCACCTGGCAGGTGGTACGCGACTATCCTAGAAAAGTGGTAGCAGGGGAGGGGAATGAGCTGAATGGGTGGCAGCACCGCACAAGCCTGAGCAAGAAATGGCTAGAGCTGCAGGGCTGTCAGGGCTCAGCGGAAGTGCTAGGATCAGTGCTGCTTTCCAGCTGATTGGCGCTTCTTCGGGGCTGTCAGGGCTCAGTGGAAGCATCAGGATCAGTGCCAGGCTCCAGCTGGAGCTCGGCACTGATCCTGCCGCTTCTGAGCGCAGAACAAGCGCCGATCAGCTGGAATGTTGCAGCATCTCCTGGGTCTTGTGATTTTCATTCAGATGCTTGGCAAGTGATTCATATTTATGACGGTCACAGTGTCCCAGGGTCATGTGAAGTGACCAAAGCCTGCTGCAACCACCCAGCAGACGGGGGGAGTAAAAACCAAACATCCCCCCTCCCACCCCCGCTGCCAATCCTCAACAGAAATGCTCACAACAATGAAAACCTCGGACAGGAGGAAGAACGCCACCGGGTGGGCAGGCAGGTGTCTTGCTCGGCTGTTACAGTGCCATTGTAACTTTGAACAGTCACTAAGCAAACTGTTGTAAGTCAAGGACTACCAGTACTTTATCACTTTTTTCCTTTTTTTTTTTTTTTTTTTTGGTCATCAAGTTTTTGACACCTTGCTAGGCGACTGATGGTACTCAGATACTGCCATATCCTAAAAGTGGTACAATGGGTGAAAAGGTTGAAAAGCCCTGTCTTAGAGTATATTGCTTAGCTTTCTTTCAAGCAAATTTGGGACATAATGGAATGAGGCAACAGCTGTGACATTTAGATAATGAGCAGTGAAAAATGTATAAAAACTGCTAGAAGAACCTCAGAGATTATTTTCATTAAATCTTCAAATTTGAAACTTTTTAGAATCCTCAGTCATTTCTAGTATGGCAGCTGGGGATCACTATTACAACACTGACTTGGAAGTGTAATTGTGCATCCAGGCTTTGCATTGCCAGTCTGCTTTGGTTTTGTGGACTTAGTTGTGTTTCATGTGTGCTGAACCTTCACTGAGTCACGTAAAACTAGTTTTCTGTATAATCATGACTAGCTGATGGATGATAAAGAAGAGTTGAGGGGGTAGGGCAGGCTGAAGGTTTTTTTTAATTGTTTTAATAAAAAGTTTAACAATATTTCATTTTTACAGTAATATAATGAATTTGGAAGGCAAAAAATCAAGCCTACACTAACAATATTTTCACAGAATAGTATTGTACCAAACATATTGCACAAACTCATACTATTTTTTCTTAACACAATATCTTCCAACTCTCTTAAGGAAAGTAAGAGATGGAATCTTTTTGGCATCTGAAGGATCCCCAGCTGGGAAAGAATGGGATTGGAAGATTATCAAAACTTGTGGATACTTTAGAATTCAAATGGTTGAACTGTCTGGATTTTGTAACTTAGTGAATATTTACTCATTCTTCCTCTCTTCCCCCCCTCCCCTCAAAACAAAGGATTAAATATGTTATTAACAGTAATTGTTCTTTCTAGTAATCAATTTTCATTTCCTTATTTTGGAGTTCCTTGAGATTTCTAGAAAAAGGGTACACTTTTTCTGCATTTTTGAATTGTCATCAGTTTCCAGGATGTAGCAATTATTCCATCAATGCAGAAAAGTGAGGCGCTATGTATGAAATATGAAAAGCAAAGCAACAAATAGGAGTATGCCTTATTTTAAATTTTCCTACTCTGGTATCTTCAAAATATGGTAGACTGCAGCTCCTAGTGCTCCCAGTTCACATTGTCTTTCCCAACAGTTTACCTATGAACATGGCTGTTTCAGGTAGCTGTTATATGAGTTATATCTGTTGCATTTGGGTCTTTTTCTAAGTTCCTTTTGAAATTAAGCAAGCAAGAGAACAAATTTCATGTTAGTACAAATCATTCTGTTCTGGATCTGACTCCCGTTAACTGCATTTACATTGTCTCCAAGTATGGGAGTGGGTAAAGATTTCCTTCGCCATACTATAGGCCAGTGATGGCGAACCTTTTAGAGACCGAGTGCCCAAACTGCAACCCAAAACCCACTTATTTATCGCAAAGTGCCAGGGCTGCATCAGCATTGGCTGATGGAGGGGCGGGGGCGTGGCCCACTGGGTGGGCGTGGTTGCAGTGGTCACGGCAGACTGGGTGAGTGTGGCTGGGGCCAGGGCGGTGGAGGCCAGTCCCTCGCCCTCTCCGGGGCATTCCCGGGGGGCCAATGGTGCTTGCTCACTCACTTCCTGTCCTGTTGTTTCCAAACGCCACGTGCTTGCTACTCTGGCAAACTCTGCTGGGACAACAGCGCTCGTGCCCACAGAGAGGGCTCTGAGTGCCGCCTCTGGCATGCGTGCCATAGGTTCTCCATCACTGCTATAGGCAAAGTTTTGCATTTTTAAAAATGCATCTTAAGCATTTTAAAGAACATTCTTCCTCTTCTGGTTGCTTTTGTTTTCTGGATTAATAGAGTGGTTTGCTTTACCCTCTTTTTTTTGCACAGGGAAGATGTTCCAGTCTTTAAACTATTGTAAAAAAAATAACAACCCTTACATGATTTTGTTACTTTCTAGGTAATTGGTTCCATCATCAACTGTTTATCATCAAGGCATCAAAAGAATATTTTCCCTTTGTTTGTTGCAGGATTTGTGTCCAGAAATACAGGCCAAAACATTTTTCAGGGTAATTTTTTTTCTATGAAAATGTTTCTCTTCAGGCAGGTTTGGGGAATTCAGAGTTCTATCTACTTAGGTGACTGTTTTAAAAAAATGAGAAGTGGGGATTTCATGGCTCCCTTTCCCTCGCATAAGATATAGTAACTTATTTATAGTAATAAAAAACATAATTAAGAATGTTGAGATACAGATCCTTATTATACTCATACTCATTTGCATAGGAAAATTTTCCTGAAAGCTCACATCTTACGCATATTAAATACTGTAGTGAAAGTGTTTATTGCACAAATAATATTGCATAAACTCGGGATCCAAAAAGATCTTGACAAACTTGAACAATGGGCCCTATCCAACAAAATAAGTTTCAGTATGGAGAAAAGCAAAGTTTTACATTTAGGCAGGAAAAATCAAAGGTAACAAGTACAGATTAGGCAAGAGCTGGCTTAAAAACAGTAACTATGAGAGGGACCTTGGAGTCCTGGTGGACAATCACTTGTCTATGAGCCAGCAGTGTGCAGCAGCAGCCAAAAAAGCTAATACAATCCTGGATTGTATAAACAAAGACATAGAATCAAGATTACGCGAAGTATTAGTACCGCTTTATAAAACCCTAGTAAGACCGCACCTGGAATACTGCAGCCAATTTTGGTCACCATATCACAAAAAAGATGTTGAGGGTTTGGAAAAAATTCAGAGAAGAGCAACTAAGATGATCAAAGGCCTGGAGACTAAAACATACGAAGAATGGCTACAGGCCTTGGGTTTGGCTAGTCTAAAGAAGAGAAAAAATAGGGGAGACATGATAGCAGTATTCCAGTATCTGAGGGGCTGCCACAAAGAAGAGGGAGTCGTGATATTCACCAAAGCACCAGAGGGCAGGACAAGAAACAATGGTTGGAAACTGATCAAAGAGAGAAGCAACCTGGAATTAAGGAGAAACTTTCTGGCAGTGAGAACAATTTAACCAGTGGAACAGCTTGCCTCCAGAAATCGTGGGCGCTACATCACTGGAGATTTTTAAGAAGAGGCTAGACAGTCACTTGTCTGAGATGGTATAGGTTCGCTTGAGCAGGAGGCTGGACTAGAAGACCTCCAAGGTCCCTTCCAGCTCTATTCTTTTCATTTGCATAGGAAAATTTTCCTGAAAACTCTCATCTAATGCATATTAAATACTATAGTGAAAGTGTTTATTGCACAAATAATTATGCACAAATTGTTTGCATATTTTTTTCTTCTGAAAAATGTTTAGAAAACATGCATGTTTGTATCCAAACTTTCATCAGCTGGATATAAATGGATAAATAAACTGATTAACTGAAAACTTCTCATCAAGTTTGTAGTTGCACTTGGCATTACGTCTAAGTTTCATGGACAAATTATGTCATTTGATGTTTATACTGGATTTATATAATTCTCTTCATACCTGCTTTTGTTAGGATAGGCTCAGAAAAATAGGGTGCTGGAGATCCAGATAAACACGCCCAACTTCAGAGATATTGTGCATTGCACATTGTTGTATGATAAGGATCAGAGTTTAGATAAATGAAAGCTAAGATGATGAGAGTCTTAGATTCTGTGTCCAGTGCCAATTACCTCTGTTATGGAGTGGTATACCTCCAGCAGGATATAGTTCATTAGGCAAGAAAAGCAAATTTTCCCCAAAAGAAAATTTTGATTTATAAGTAAAAGAAACAGTGCTAGTTTTCATGCTATATTACTTTTTATCCTAACTCTGCCTAGGACTATTTCATTCAGCATAAAGCAGTTTCAACTTGCATTTTATCTGCAAATATGCTATGTATATTCTTAATTTCTGGCGATTTCGTTAAGCTTTGGCAGAAGAGACTGGCTATCTGCTGTAACACAGCTAAAATGCATGGGGCTCATTCATCAGAAGAATATTCTGAGAAGATGGTAATACAAGTCTTCAAAGTCTTATATTCCTAACATTGATTCTAGATATATCCCAGTTTTCAGCTAAGATCAGCTGCTGAGGCAGTTTTAAAGTTTCCCCAAAGCTGCTGAATCATCAAAAAATCTTGCAGTATAAGTTACAGTCTCTGTCGTTTGGCAAGGCAAGCAAGATACTACTCTAGAGAAGGAAAAGCAAAACTGCAGATGGCAATTGTGGTGTTTGAAGGGGAAGTGGGCTGACTGACGGGTTCTTTTAAATTCCAACTCACAGAAACAGCTGTTAAGTCTACAAATTTGACTTTTTTCCCCTTAAATGTTTGCTTAGGAAGCTGCACAAGGCTCATATTCTGTTTCAGATGCCTGTGTTTGCATGTATTTTCATTTTGTGGCTACCTTATAGCGAGTTAGACCCTTGATCTGATTATACCTGCATTGTCTATCGTGATTGATCAAAGACTATCCATGGTAATGATGATGGTGATGGTGATGATGATGATGATGATGGAAGAGACCTTGGAGGTCATCTAGTCCAACCCCCTGCTCAGGCAGGAAACCCTATACTATTTTGGACAAATGGCTGTCCAGTCTCTTCTTAAAAACTTCCAGTGTTGGAGCATTCATCGCTTCTGGAGGCAGGTTGTTCCACTGGTTAATTCTAACTGTCAGAAAGTTTCTCCTTACTTCTAGGTTGCTTCTCTCCTTGATTAGTTTCCATCCGTTGCTTCTTGTCCTGCCTTCAGGTGCTTTGGAGAATAGCTTGACTCCCTCTTCTTTGTGGCAGCCCCTGAGATATTGGAACACTGCTATCATGGTGTCAGACATAAAGCAAAATAAATTAGTGGTAGCACCAACAAGTATATATCATGGTTGGAATAATTGCTGCATCAGTTGATGGTGATTTTTTTTTTAGCTTAAAACAATTGGATTAAAATTTCTGCAATGGCCCGAAAAAAGCTTATTTAATTATTAGTGGTACCATTCTTGCTGAAATGTGATGTTTCACCTCCAAATCATTACTAATTTCCCTTATTTCATCAAGAAAAGTTATTTATCTTCATGTATTCCCATGACGTTGGCCACCAAAGTAGTACCCGTTAATCTACTTGCAGACTGCTGGGTCAGCAGGGGCTGAGTGGATGACGGGAGCTCACCTCACCCCGCAGCAGCAAAGGGTCTCAAACGTGATGTCACCGGCAAATCCTTTTGCCACAGAAACACTTTGGTTCTACCAATATGAATTTTTTTTAATGCCATATTGATCACTTTTTTAAATAGAAAATTAAAAGGGGTGAATTATAATATGTTAAGAGACTTTGCTTCATACATGCATTTAGTCTTGTAGGATGCAAGAACAAATAGAGAAGACCTCCAAAGTCCTTTCCAGTTCTATTATTCTGTATTTTGTAAAACTGAGTGCTCTCCAGAATATTTGCAGTACAGTTCCCTTAATCCAGCCTGTATGTAGAATAGAGAGATATGATAGAAACTATCACCCCCCACATAGAGGTTGGAGAAGGCTCACAAATGTAATAAAAATAAGAAAAATAGTTCTATTACACTTGCTATTCCACATTGCCTCTCTTAAGTTTCCTTGCAATGTTGAGAACTGAAGGAAATTGAACTATCAGTCTTTGGCCAAAGTTAATGCTGAGTAGATCTTCCTGTTATCAGCTGTTCCAACTTATCAATCCTGAGACTGCAATTTCTGAAAAAAAAATGCTAACTGGGAATTTGGGGAGAAGCCTAGAGATCTCTAGACTGGTGGGGAAGCTGTTCAATTTGCTCTTTTCCAAAACTGATGGACCTTGAGTTTGTTTTAGGTTTTGCTTCTTAAAATATTATATAATAATGTACAATAGTACAGTAGTTATGTATTCCCAAGCGGGACAAAGAATAATATTCTTAAAATGGCCTTGCCATCTATTTATACTGTCTTAATCTTACTGAATTGGAAATTTTCAAACACAGAAATTTAGAAAAGTGTGCCTGAAATCAGCGCTCCCATTCATTTGACCTCAGTGTCCTTGTGCAGCATTGGGGGGGGGGTCTGTGGTCACTTTTGCTTCTCTTGAATCATCTTCAGGTTATCAGTTGGTAACCTGAAAAGTTAGAGCTGGAAACTGAATTGGACAAAACGGGAAGGGGCAGAAAGAGGAAGAACGAGCCACTGTGACTCATTCCTTAGAAATGTGGGCTTCCTTCCTTTTGAGATTTTAGGAATGTAAAGCCTTAAGTAGGGCAGGGGCTTCCAGGAAGTGGAGGAGAATTTGGGGTCAGATGTTGCCATCTGCACAATTTCCGCTTTCCGTTGCTCTTACCTCCCAGATTTTCCACCCACCCATCTACCCTTGGGAATTTTTGTTTCTGGCTTGAATTGTCCTAGAAGCAATTCTGACATATTCAGATCCATTGAAATCGCTAAGGTTACTTGGCTGCAAGGGGAAGACAGTGTTTGTGTCTTCTGTTGCACCAGGAAAGCAGAGGATAAGAGATGAAATTAGTAAATAATATAGGAAGTTCTCTGTGTTTGGGTAAGCGTTCTTTCATTGTGGTTGAAGCATTTTATTCTGGTATGAAGGCTTAAAACTTGCTTTCCGATTTTTGTCGTAGTCCCTCTATTTTTTTCCCCCAAGTTTTTTTCCCTGGGGCTTCATAGAGTTATGGAGATTCCAGTTCAGTTCCTTGTTCAGACTTCAATACAGGTAATCCTCGACTTACAACAGTCCATTTAGTGACCGTTCACAGTTACAGCGGCACTGGAAAAAGTGACTTCTGACCGTTTTTCACACTTATGACCAATGCAACATCCCTGTAGTCATGTGATCAGAATTCAGACGCTTGGCAACTGATTCATATTTATGACAGCTGCAATGTCCCTGGGTCTTGGGATCACTTTTTGCAAACCTCTGACGAGCAAAGTCAGTGGGGAAGGCAGATTCACTTAACAGCTGTGTCACTAACTTAACGACTGCAGTGATTTACTTAACAACTGCGCCAAGAAAGGTCATTAAATGGAGGAAAATTCACTTAACAAATAGTAACATAAATTTTGGGCTCAATTGTGGTCATGACCACCTGTACAACAATCACAGGCCTTTTGTAATGTGTTTTGAGGCCTACTTCACGAGGTCATTACAAAGATATAAGTAAGGTAGATTCTGTGCCTCTGTGAGCTTTTTTGAGGAAAAGCAACTGTAAAATAAATCATGAATGAAGTTTTGGATCTTGATCCTGCAGGCCTGATGCAAGTAAACACTGCCAAAATTGTAACCTTAACTAAGATGTCTGCTAGTGTTTTGACCATAGAAACCTGACTGGAAAACAAGCAATGTTGGTTAAAAGGCAAATGGAGGAAGAAATAGATAGCTGGACTGTACGGTTTTCCCCTCCCCTCTTTCCCCCCCAATGCTTCCAAATCTTACATTGCCTGGGAGATGTGGGACTAGCCAGTTTTCCTTAAGAAAGTAGCAAATGCAGTATGACTGGCTGGGGAATTCTGGGAATTGAAGTCTATCTTAAAGTTGCCGAGGTTAGACATCCCTACAGTAGAAGGTATTTGGCAGTGAGAGCTGCATTCCTTTCTGCCCATGTCTCAGAATACCTTCTTCGCCAGTTGCCATTGCTAAAATGCAAGGCAGACAGACCTTTGTTCTGATCCAGAATAAGAAAAAAATTCTGTTGTTCAGCTTAAACCTTTTGTCTGGAAGCTGTCACTTATAAGCCAGAGAGAACAAACTTCAGACTTACAATCTTTTAAAACAGCTAAACAACAGAAATAAAGAATGTAGCATCTAAAGCAGTGGTTCTCAACCTGTGGGTCGGGACCCCATTTAGGGTCGAACGACCATTTCATGGGGGTTGCCAAACCATGCTGTCCACCATTTTGTTCCCTTTTCCCTAGCTGTCCTACTCCCTCTTATTGGTGGCCACACCCACTTGGGGGTCACCACAACATGGGGAACTGTATTATGGGGTCAGGGCATTAGAAAGGTTGAGAACCCCTGATCTAAAGTGTCATACTGTGCTTTTTATTTTACTTATTTTAAAGCTTCTCTGATAAAGAGCTGTGTAGAATTTTTGTCCTTTTCTTTCTCCTTGGTTATCAATATGACAAGTTAATTTTTGAAGCAGGTCTGGTCTTTTCACTTCTCTTCATGCACTTCTCTTGATGTCCTCTTGAGAATTTAAAAGCTAGCTTGGGAGGGAACTTTTGGTTTTACCAGGTTCTTAAAGAAAGTTCTAAAGCAGGGGTGTCAAATCAATTTCACTGAGGGCTACATCAGCATTGCGATTGCCCTTGGGGGGGGGCAGGGGTGTGTGGACAGAATGGGTGCAGCCTACTGGGTGGGCGTGGATGGAGTGGGTGTGACCTACTGGGTGGGCGTGGCCAGTTCTACATCATTCGCGTCAAAGGTGCCTATGGGGGCCTGGGCAAGAGTGGGACAGATCTGAGGGTCTCTCGCAGAAGGGGGTGGAACTGGGGCAAGTGCCAAGATGGCCACCACAAAAATGTACATTGGCTCCCAGCTGGCCTGGGCCAGGGCCAAGGCAGTGGGGCCCGTTCCCTCACTGTTTCCAGGAAGGCTTCGTGGGCCACATGAAACCACTTCGCGGGCCGCATCCGGTCCCCGGGCCTTGTGTTTGACATGTCTGTCCTAAAGTAAGGGTCTTTAATCCAAAATTTGGATAATGTTCTGGGACTGATTCCCAGGACCTGATTGGATTCATGCAAACCATGCATAGGATCAGGGACAATGTCCTTCATTCCAGGCCTGGTGTTGTGGTGAAGGTGCTTGCCTAGAAACCAAGACACTCTGAAGTTCTGGTTCCATCTTAGGCACAAAACCCGACTGGGTGACTTTGGGCCACTCTCTCTCTCTCAGTCCAGCCCACTTCACAGAGTTGTTGTGTCGGGGGGGGAAGGAGGGGAGGAATATTATGTATGTTGTCTGCCTTGAGTTACTTATAAAGTAATAAAGGTGGGATAGCAATCTAAATAAATCAGCATTAAAAGTTTTTCTCTTTCTTTTTCAGTCGTGTCCCGGAATGGCTGCGATGCCCAGATGGATGCTCAGAGAGTGCCTGGCCAGCTAGGAACTTCAAGCAAGTGTCACAGGAGCAGAAGTCGCGGTCTGCCTCTTGTGAAGCAAACTAAGTTCCGTTCAGACTGGATATACAGGATTCACTGTCTTAAGCAGTTGGTTAAATTTGATTTGCTTTAACCCAGAGAGCCCTTTTGGCTACCGTTAGCCTGGCTTATTTCAAAGCCATCAACAGAAAGCTTGGGGTACCGTACAAATTGGCTCTCTCCCATTCTCCACTCCACCATCACCACCATGTCGACGTCTTCATTGCGCCGTCAGATGAAGAATATTGTACATAATTACTCTGAAGCCGAAATCAAGGTCCGGGAGGCTACATCAAATGACCCTTGGGGCCCATCTAGTTCTCTCATGTCTGAAATTGCTGATCTCACCTACAATGTGGTAGCCTTCTCAGAAATCATGAGCATGATCTGGAAGCGTCTCAACGACCATGGGAAAAATTGGCGTCATGTCTATAAGGTAAGCGTGCACCGTCTCTTTGTTTTTGGAAATATATATTTGTCTGGTAACGGTGCTGTAACTCTCCTGTTCTGTTTTTTTCATAGCGATTCACTATTAAGTCTGTTTCATTGCATTTCCACACTGCTCCACAGATACCTTATTAAGAAAGTGGAATACATTCATATGTATTATGGTGTGATTTTATTATAGAAGGCGTACTACTTTGGACACATGCAGCACAGTATTCAGAAGAATGTATATGTGCATGGCAGTCTGTGTGCTTTATCTCAAAAGTCCAAATATGTGAATTCATTCTCAAATGCAGATTAATCCTCAAACATGCAAATGGAGGGGCTGTTGGTCAGTGGTAGAGAACCAACTTCTCATCCATCCGATCCCAAATTCAGATCATGATATCCTCAGGAAAGACTGGAAAGGTCTGAAACCCTAGAAAGCTTCTAAACTAGGATACGTTTTGGTAGCCCAGGAGCACAGTTAATGCTTGGGGTGGGGTGCGAGGCTTTAAAGTGAGGGGATGGGATTCCATCATTCAGGTAGTCCTCAATTTATGATCGCAATTAAGCCTGCATATTATGTTTGTAACATGTCATTAAGTGAGTCCATGTGACCACACCTGACTTTACAACTTTTTTGTGCTGGTCATTAAGCGAACCCTTTGTCCAAGTGGCCATTTTTGCCGGAAACCAAGCGTGAACACAGGGCATTGCAAGTGGCTAAATTTGGGCTATCTTCTAAGCATGTCGTGAGTTTGTTTCTTCTTGCATCTCTTCCAGGCTATGACACTTATGGAATACCTAATCAAGACAGGCTCAGAGCGGGTTGCACAGCAGTGTAAAGAGAACATCTACGCCATCCAAACACTAAAGGATTTTCAGTACGTTGACCGGGATGGCAAAGATCAAGGGGTCAACGTGCGGGAGAAGGCCAAGCAGCTGGTGGCCCTCCTTAAAGACGATGAGCGTCTCAAAGAAGAGAGGGTCCATGCTCTTAAAACTAAGGAGAAGCTGGCCCAGACCGCAACCGGTAAGCTCTCTGGGCCTTGATCTAGTTGACATTGTTTTCTTTGTTATCCAAATCCACATTTCTCATTCTCCAAGTGATTCCTCTTCAGTATAATGAGATTGTTGGAGTAATCCCTGTGTATTTTAGTCTATGTATTTCATAGGGTAGGACAGAACCACATTCTTCCTTTGGATGATGGGAAGAATAATGAATGAATAGCAAAGCTGTCAATCATATATTGCACATGAGGAAGGAGAGAGATTTTCCTTTGAGTTCACCACATTTAATTTGTATGTGTGCTTTGGTCTCTGAGTTGCTGCAATCATCTAAGCAGGTCACCATGCTGGTTAAGCAAATCAGTGGTCATTAAGGGAATGCTGTAGTCCAGTGATGGCGAACCTTTTAGAGACGGAGTGCCCAAATTGCAACCCAAAACCCACTTATGTATCGTTGGGTGCCGGGTGGGGCATGGCCCATTGGCTGGGTGTGGCCAATTGGGTGGACATGGCCAATTAGGTGGGCATGGCTGCGGTGGTAACGGCAGACTGGATGGGACTAAAAAGTTCAATCAATTCCAGCTTTGCAAGATCTTTTTTTTCCCCATGAGAAGTTGAAATTCATTGATCGATTGAATCTTTTTTTTTTTTTTTTTTTTTTTGCATACGGCGGTGGAGGCCTAAAACGAAAAGGTTTTATAAAACCCAGCTGAAGGCCTAGGACTGGGGTGATGGCGCATGTGCCCACAGAGAAGGCTGTGGCACACATGCCATAGGTTTGCCACCACGGCTGTAGTCAATAAACAAGCCCATTGTCTGCAATGAGTGGGTTTTTTTTGCTTGAAATTGGAAGTAAATACCCATTGTAAATTGTGGACACATGACTGCAGGATGCTGTAAATATCTGTACATGTAGGCTGGTTGCCGAGCACCCCAAATGTGATCATGCGACCATGGGGTGTGTGTGGCCATCAGAACTTCAAATCCAGGTCGTAAGTACCTTTTTTGGGGGGGTGTCTGTTGTAACTCCAAATGGTCAGTAAGCAAGTGGTAGTAAGTCGATGTTTATACAGTAATCGTTCACAGTTATGACAACGATGAAAAAGTAGCTTTGTGACCAATCCTCACATTTACGCCATTGCAGGTCTGTAAGCAAAGGAAAGCTGAGGTAAAATTGTAAGCACAGTCAGTGTTTCACTTAGCAACCACTTCACTTAATGACCCAGTTGCTGGTCCCAATAGTAGTCGCTAAACGTTGATTATCTGTACAATGGCCCGAAGGCCAGAGCATTCTTAATTTCATCAAATGTCATTAATTTCTCATTGTCTATGGAAAAACAATGGTGTCTCTGGGTGTATGGTATAAATACTGTCATATTTAGCCTGGAGAAAAAGCATTAGAACAGAAATTGATGAACAGATGAATGTTACACTTGTTCTGATACTGGAGCAAGGCACCAATTGTGACCCCATTCCCAGATAGCAACATTTCTCGCTTCTGGTTTCCTCCAGTTATAACAGAATTGTCAAGCACAGGAAGTCAATGCAAATGAATACAGCATACTAATACTCTCTTCAAGAATCTGAACTACTAGCAGTCAGAACAAATTGGCAATAGATAAGAGTTAACGGAATTCAAGGTGGTCTGGACCTGTATCTCTTGTGGGTGCGAAGGGACTTGAGACTGATGACATGTTTGTTCCCTCCCCTCCCTTGGTCTCAGCCTGGCCATCTCTACAGTGATAGAACTGTAACTTCCAGAATTACCATATTGTTTTAAGAGCTAAGATTCAAATGCCTTTGGGAAATTCCTGATTGTGCAATATGAAATAAGGTGATGTGCTGGAATTTGTTTGTAGAAGTTGGATTGTTTTGGCTGTTTAGGTTCAATTATGAGGATGTTTGAAAAATCTGAACCTGCTACTTGTCTCCAGTGCACTTTTTCTTTTCTGGTTACGGACAGCAAGAAGGACAATATGAAGACATCATTACCAATCTCTATTGCAGATAAATTAAATATAGTGAGCTCAAGGGTAAATTTCTCTGCTTCCTGACACCTGATGTATGACTGACAGCTCTGCTATTTAATTATCATTTTTCCCATTGTCCAAAAGGTTGGTACAAAGGCCGGCTGTCTTGATTATGTTCATTTTTCTGAAATTATGCCTTCAGAGAAAGGTGTGCCCCTGATACAACTCTCACCAATTTGGCAGGTTGCCAAGCTCTTAAGATTGAGTTACAGGTCTCCTTGATCTGCTGGTGCCCTTTCTCCATATTGATAATCTGGATCAAATTCCACCACATTTGTTTGCACAACATCTGGTAGGGCAGGTTCAGTTTTTTTTTTTTTTTTTTTAAGTGCAGCGTTTGCTTCCTGTTGTAACCATTTCAGCAGAAATACAGGGAACTGGGGAATTGTTAGAGAGAATTCAATAGAAAAAGGAAAAAGGGAATATGCATAACCTCCCCCCTCACCCAACTCCAACCCCCAAATGGAGCTGAAGATAGACTGCTAGCCATATTGGCCCAGAGGAACATCCCAAGCAATGCCCTGTAGTTAAAAATCAACTCGCAACCTCATGATATGTGTAATGTTAACACTCCTACACCCTTTGATTGAAGTACAGTAGATAAAGGAAGATAAGAAAGTTGCTTTCAATTTCTAAAACAAATTTACGAACAATAAAACTATGACACCATATAAGAGAGATATGAAATAGCAAGTCCTATTGAGTTCTTCTGAAGTGCTCCCCTCATAAATTAAGTTTCTTGGGTGTGTTTGTGGGAGTAGGAAAAACCATTGTCCAAAGCCTTTTGGGAAAAATGATGATTAACTAGCAAAGCTGTCGGTCATATTTCAGGTGTCAGGAAGCAGAGAAATTTTCCCTTGAGTTCACTATATTTAATTTATCTGCAATAGAGATTGGTAATGTGGTCAGCACAATGCATGTTGTTAGAATAACAGTTGAAAGGGACCTTGTAGGTCATCTAGTCAAACCCCATCTGTGTATTTTGGGCTCTAGATGCTGCAATCACCTTTACTTCTTTGGCTAGTAGTGCTACTATTGTGGCCTGAAGACCAGAGCAATTCCTGGAGCAGTATTAATTTGATGAATTTGTTTCTAATTTTATATGGAAAAACAATGATGCCTCTGTGTGTGTGGTATAAATATTGTCATTTTATGCTTAGCTTAGAGAAGATAAAGGATTAGAATAGAAAGCGATAATCATTCTATATCAGTGTTTGGCTCTCCGTTTCCTCCAGAGAGCCAAAGCCTTCTACCAGGAGAAGGTAGCAGATATTTTAAAAGTAATTCTTGTTTAAAATAACTCCATTTGGATGACCTCAAATTCTCAGTTGAGGGTTCAGTGGTGGCGAACCTTTTAGAGACCGAGTGCCCAAACTGCAACCCAAAACCCACTTATGCATCGCCGGGTGTCGGGTGGGCCTGGCCACCAAGTGGGCGTGGCCACCAAGCTGTTGGCTCGTGTCGCTCATTCGCTTGCTGTCCGCTCCAACTTGTGCTCGCTCTCAAGCTGTCTGCAGCAAATGCTGCTTCCGCAGAAAATTGCTCCTTTTATAGCCTCTCGCCTATTCCCAGACTGCGCATGCACAGAGAGGAGAAGGGAACAGCTCAGCCCAGCAATGGCACGCGTACCACAGGTTCGCCACCACGGGTATAGATGCTAAGGCTAGCCAAGGATTCTCATATTCTGGGTCAAGTTATTTTTCATCTTATTTCCCTTTCTTATTAGAGATGAGGTCTTATGTATCAGACAGAGGAGACCAAGTCCAGACATGAAGAACCAATTAAACTGATTTATAGCTAAGCCTATGCATAGGGATCTTTTCAACAATAGCACCTCTTTGAAGTTCAATAAAAGTCAATGGAATTCAAAGGGGGTTGGATTAGTCTACTTGTAGCTTCTTAGGGATTCTAGGCTAATCCCTCTTTTAACTCCTCCCCCAGGTTCTTCCACTTTTTCTCCTACACTATGAATGGCAATAATACTATATTCTTTTTGTTATAGAATACTATTTTGAAATGATATTTGATTTTTTTTGCATAGTATTTCTTTTACAGAACATTTAAACTTGTCTATTAAAATCACTTGTTTTATCAAAAATACCAATACAATTTTGTAATTTGATTTGGTTATATATTTATAACATATTTAATGAATTGGAATTAATAACACAAAGTGGAGAATTTCTCATTTCTGCAGCGCGTAACAATGAATTGTTGATCATTGGAAAATAGTTACAAGGTACTGAGGATCCACTGGCCACCCTAGTGAATTTCAGATTTTTGGAAATATTTTTTTTCATGTCTGATGGCTTGGCTTGTAGTTATGTGCTAGTGAAATTCAGTAATTATTTTAGACACCTACCTTTCAAAATGGAAAAGTTTTTATTATCTAGTACAGTGGTTCTCAACCTTTTTAATGCCGTGACCCCCCAACCGGTCGTAAGTCGAGGAAACCTGTCGTAAGTCGAGGACTACTCAGCTGGTGCAGCAACATTTGCAGAATGGGACTTTTGGCGGGCTCAGCAGGGCAGAGACAGCCTGGACAATTCCTATTGGCTTTTGAAAGCCAATAGAATTAGACTTTATTCAAGAGAGTCTATTCTATTGGCTTTCAAAAGCCAATAGAATAAAAGGAAGTAGCACAGCTAAGGAAAAGGGGGGGGGGGGAAATGGTGGACTGCATTGTTTGGCGACCCCTGTGAAATGGTCGTTCGACCCCAAATGGGTCCCGACCCACAGGTTGAGAACCACTGATCTAGTAAGTAAAAAGCTTTTGTGTTAATAAAAGTTAGCTTGAGACAAGAAAGCATGATGAAAGTTAGATATCTTTTGGTTCCACATTATTATTTTTTGGTTACTGGAGAATAATTCACTATAGTTTTTGTCAGAAAATACTGCTGGGAATATGAAGCCAACAAAATCATCTGGAAAAAAGTTGTGCAAAGATTCCGTAACTGCTTCACTTGTACAATTTAAAATACAATGATTAAAAGTA